TTTCCTACCAACCGAAAATGTTTGGTTTACCCCGCCTGCTCATATGACCCTATGCAGCTAAGATTCTATTGTCATTTTCTTTAAAATCTTAGCGAACGTTTCTTTCCCCATTGCTCTAGACCAGCATGCATTATCACTGTTTGAGATGGGCGTTTAATTAGAGGTCTTGTCTCTGAGCTAACATTCAAATGTTGAAAGGAGCGACAAATCTAACCGACAGGGTAGGAGTTACATAAAGGTTAAAACTGTAATATTGGCGTTGTTATTCATAGACTAATGTCTACACGTTGATGTTTTATCTCTCTAGGATCTCTGAAACTGGCTTTGTCCCATGCATGAAGATGGGCGTAAAAACGTGAATTTAAAAACAGACGTGAGTAGAAAGGAGTGCAAACCAACAACCACATCAATACCCATGATTTTAGGATATCAATTTTGTTTACTTCCAAAGCTGATGATTAGCTTACTGTTTTGTTAACTTATCCAAAGTTAACAATGAACTTACCGGTAGCACAGATGGTGTTTTTCTTGACCTTGCAGTCTTGCAAAGACAGACTGACGGTCCCGCTAAGATCCTTCTCCACCGCTACACAGTCTCCCCCATGGTTGGCCACTGCACTGGGGTCAGAGGTTGTTCCTGGAGAAAGAACAGACGTGAATATTTAATATTGTGCAAAACGGTAGAGGAAGGACATTTTTCAACATCTTGTACTAAATGATAGAAAGAGATGGAACACATATTTATGCACATCTTTCACTAAACAAATGATAGAAAGAGAAAAAACACTCGTGAACAAGGAACGCATGTGAACATTTCGTACTAAAAGGTAGAAAGAGAATGAACAAACGTGAACATCTTCTACTAATAGATGGTAGAGGAAGAACACGCGTAAATATAGTGTACCAAAAGGTAGTATATAGTATATTTTTCGTCTGGTTAAAATAACAGACCAGACATCTGCACTAGTTTGTGACGACTCTCTCCATTTGAAGAACAACAAAGAAGAACAAAAACTCTAGAGCTATAATATGTGTATGTAATCCATGTTGTTGTTCTTTTTAGTTAGAGTTCTACGAAACGTGCAACACAACTAGGCAATATATAAATGCCGCACTGTTCCAAGAGAGTAGCAAACAAAGAAAAGTAGGAGAGGTAAGGATAACTGATGTTTTTGGTAATTTCGGTAACAGTGTAATGGCGCTCTCAACTGCGTAAGCTCAAATGAGAGCATGATAGATGATTGGTTAAGAATGAAGGAGCAAAGCACACTTGAGCACCTGACTGCCACCCACACGCTCTGTCAAGAACAAAAAAAAGGGAAAGAAAAGAAGAGAAGCTAAGACCTATTCGAAATATTTAGACAAAGCAACAAAAATAGCAAAGAAAACATAGACTTGTGTGAAACATGTAGACGAAGACAATAAAGATTTTTTAACTAAAAAAAAACCCAGGATAAGACCTGCATGAACTGTGTAGTCAAGAGCAACAAATAAACAAACAAAGAAAACCTAGATTTCTATTAAACGTGAGGTCAAATTAAATAATTCAAAATATCATTTTGTGACTTCTTGTTCCATTTTGATGAACAAACAAACAAACAAGCAAACAAACAAGCTGACAAATAATCAACTCTTTCCTAACCATTCGACCAACGAATCCTTGGTTCTCGTCGGACTCCCAGCCACAGATAGCCTGATGACACGATTTGATGGCTGGCTAACCACTTCTTCAGGTCACCTGTTGAAGCTGTGGCCAGCGACTGACCAGTATCTTTGCAATTCTTGTCCGCTTCGTGCCAAGTGAAGGATGTGGAGACGTAAGAAATGACGCACGTTCTGTCACCGTCAACGGGGGAAATTGAACCTGACCAGAGAAAAGGTGTTCCAAATTATGTAGGTTTAACGACCGTTGCAACACTCTAAAGTTATTAAAGAGTAAAATAACGGTTTTAATTTATATACGTTTAGCTTCCTTTTAAACACTGTAGTTTTTTTATAAGGAGAACAAATGTGATAAGGTATACAGTTTACTTGAATATCTCTCGACAGGTTTAAAGAAGGTATTGGGAGGGTGAGATCTTAGAAACAGTAACCTATAATAATTCCTTGAGCATTTCATTTTCTCCCGACAGTGCTGGAGACGAATGCTGGAAGATCTAGTTTATAATTAATTTTTTACAAAGCCCAACGTATTGTTTCTAGGTCAAGAAGGCTTTTCAATTCATGATATGAAATTACAATTTTGAAACATGAAAATTCCTTTTTAATGTTAAGATTAGAGAGATGAATCTAATAGGCTCTGAAATCTGAGGTGCCGTACCAAAAATGGGGACGTCATTCATAAAGTCCTATAATAATGGTGACAGCAGTAATAACAATACTGACGTTGCATCCCTCACTAACACCAATATCACCAACACTACCACCACCACCAGCAACAATAGCATTATTACAGGTATTATTAACAACAACAGCAGCAACAACAACAACAACGAAAACAACAACAATAACAAAGCAATAATAATAACAACACTGACAAGAAGAAAAACAATAGCAACAACAACAGTAACAATAACAACAGCAATAATAACAACAACAGCAACAAAAACAGTAACAACAACAGCTGTGCGAGAACTAGACAGACTGACAGTCCCGCAAAGCAATATTATGTTTTTATGACAACCTACAATTCTGGCACAAAGACCCTCGGCGTCTAATTGATGATGTATCACAACGGTCAAACCTCAGGGTCTCCGTAGATACGTGAAGGTAGCCGCATATTTGTTTTGGGTCATTTGCTGGAGGTCCAATGTGGAGCTCTGGGGAGTCTGAGGAGAGAGGAAGTGGTGAGGGGATAGAGAGAGGAAAATGAGAAGTAGAGAGAGAGGGGGAGAGAAGGAAGAGAGAGAGAGAGAGAGGGGGGGGGGAGAGAGAGAAAGAGAGAGAGAGAGAAAGAGAGAAAGAGAGAAAGAGAGAGAGAGAAAGAGAGAGAAGTGGGACTATGATCTATCTATCTATCGATGCGTCTGTCTATCAATGTGTCTACCTGTCTATCTATCTAAGTTGTCCCTCCCTTGTCACCACATTTCATTAATAATGATCCCCCCGCCTCTTCCTCCCCCACCACCCTTCACACACACACACACACACACACACACACACACACACACACACACACACACAGAACACATAGATGTAAACCTTTGACAAACACAGTATTTGCCGCAACCCCTCCACAGTGCTCATTGAAGTCCTGGGGACACACACGGGAACATGACGTCACCAATTTTTGTGAAGTAGAATTTGACGGATCACTTGTGAGACACTTGCACTTCCCGCCCTGGTGAGTATTGAGAAATAAATAAACAACCAACTATGGATTGACTGATAGAATATTCGTCAGACACATTATGTACTAGCTGGGCCCCCTTTCAATGAAAGAAATGATCGGAGCATTAAAATCAACTGAAAGTCATTGGTAAAAAAAAGAAAACATGAAGCTAGATCAATACGGGTCATCATCACCATCATCATGCAGTGCCAGATCTGCGACAGACATCGGCGATCATGGTTTTCCATTCATTCCTTTGCTCGGATGCTCTCAAAAAAGCTATGTTTCCCTGATCTTTCCCTGTTACCCATTTGTTTAGGTTCCCTAAGTGTGTTGTTCTGGGCCTACCCCTGCCTCGCTTGCCCTCAATTTTGCCAGTGAGAGCTAGATGTTCAAGACCCTTATGTCTATTCAGGTGTCCCAAAAACTGAATTTGTCGTTTCCTGATTGTTTTTAACATTGAACGTCCCACATGGGCTTCATCAAGCACTACCTCATTTGATTTCTTTTCCTTCCACGATACTCTTAGCAGTCTCCTAAAAAGACACATTTCTGTTGCCTATATTTTATTTTCACTGTCTTTAGTGATTGTCCAGCATTCACAGCCATATAGAAGGGTTGACCAAACAAAGCATTTCAGGACTTTACTATACGGGTCGCACACTTAAAATAGTGCTCAGTATTGCCAAAGAGTCTACATAACAAGAGGGGCCACTTCTCTCTTTGAGCCAATTAAAAAAGTGTCCTCAAAATTCGGTGGCACCGTCTTCGCAAAAGCGCACCCTTTGCGAACAGAGTTACCCTACTTGAGTTTAAAAAATCAAAGTGAAACTAGCAAGTTTTTGAATAAATTTCGGAAGAACGCATTTTTAAAATGGTTACGCTGACAAAAAACCTCTTCCGGAGGAAAGGGTTATTGTTTTCTTCGTTTAATTTGACTTTAGAATGAAGGGCGAGAGGTCATTAAAATATTTTTTAAAAACCTAAAACTCCACACTGAACGAACCCGAACTGCTGATGAACAGCTGTCGATCTGCGCATGCAAGGAGGTGCTATTCCTATTATTCTTCTGGAAAAACGAAAGAGAGCTTAAAAACAGACTGCAGCGCCATCTGAAGCAAAGAGCGAACTTCCTGCGGACACTTTTTTGGCTGAGTGGCCCATCTTGTTATCTTTGGTATTGCGCAACAATGCGCGATAGTATCGAACGGAAGTAAGACTTGAAATAAACAAACTTGGCGGATTTTCTAAAATTACAGAGACAGAAGCGTCGGCCTACAAAAGCGATCGGCAAAATAAAGAAATTTAGCTTTTTTGCAGCAAAACTGTCTCAAAAACTGAAAAAAACGAACGGCGTCATGCTCTGGGGAATATTTTAAAGAATCTTTTTGCGAAAACCGCATGTCGATCGATGCAGCCATTAAAAAGCCTTTTGAATAGCAAAATTGGGCTACCACAAATAGATAATAGATAATTATGTGTGTGTGTGTGTGTACGTGTGTATGTGTGTACGTGTGTATATGTGTGTGGATGTGTGTGTGTGTGTGTGTGTGTGTGTGTGTGTAAATGTGTGTGTGTGCGTGTGTGTGTGTGTGTGTGTGTGTGTTTGTGTATGTGGGGGTGTGTTTGTGTATGTGGAGGTGTGTGGGTGGGTGTGTGTAAAATTGAGTGCGTACATGTGTACAGAGAGACAGAAAGAGAGAACGAGTGAGAAAGAGAGAGATAGAGAGAGATAGAGAGAGAGAGAGAGAGAGAGAGAGAGAGAGAGAGAGAGAGAGAGAGAGAGAGAGAGAGAGAGAGAAGGCGGAACGAGGGGACCGACGGAGAATGGACCAGTTTATTTTATTCCTGCAATAATATAATAACCACAAACTGCAGCAATTAGACAGACACTGACCCTTATTGTGACACTTCTTTTTTTGCTTAAGACTTGGAAGATCATGGCGTACCTGGAGTGCTGTCCATTCTGTGCGACACTGCTCAAAACACTGGAGAATGTTCAGCTCTCCTGAAGGCACTCTAGTGGTTAAATTGTCCAAAACGGTGTCAGAGAAGCAGCCAAGTGAGTCATACAGGGGCACCTGGGTGTTATCTGAAAAGAGAAACTACGTGTTTACTGAGTTGCAAAAGTTATCCCACACCCATTGTACAACAATAATTTTCACTTAAGAGTACGAATTCCAGTGAAACTGAAAAATTTTGACTTTTGTGACTCCTGAGATTCTGGGTTCATTCGGGGACGATTGAAATTATAAACAGGTCGTTGTACGTGGACATGGACATTAGTGCATGCTACACTCAAAATTTGCTTTGAATTACATAGATAATGTGTAAGCACACCTTATGTACGATAAAATCAGTTCTTTTGAAAAGTTGGGTCTTTAAAAATTTGTTCAATTCTTTTCAAAATAACAAGACTGACAAATACAGAATGTGAATGCGCTGAGCGTATGATACATTCTGGAATTGCGCTTTCTACTGTTGCAGGGCACGTAAATGGTTTCAGAAGAACCATCTAACGCTTAAACAAACATTTTATCACCACCTGAAGAGTCCAAGACAGGCCGAGACGTGCTTACCAATTGCAACAACTCGGCACCTGAATTACCGATGCTCGAAATCAGTTTCAACTAAGTTTTGAGACTACCAGATACATGTAACTGCCTTAAAACAACATTATCAGACATTTAGGGGACGATGGACTGCTTGATTATGGCCCTTTATGTAGACACATTTTAACTCTGTTTCAACGAAGAATCGCCACATTTGTGCTTGACAACATTGGCGATGGAACCAGAGAAGTTGGTATAATGTTCTATTCCGCAATGGTCCAGGTTTTCAATTCATCGCATTGATAGAAGAGAAAAGGTGTTAAAAAGAAGAGGATAGAGAGTTCACAAAGCCATTGTCCGCAAGATGGACCGATTCGGTGGCTGAAGAATAATTGTGTGGGACGAAATCTCAGCTTTTTATCGTATACATTTAGTCACAATTCAAAGCAACCTCAAAGAATGACGGTACTGTTACGAAACTCTAAGCAAGCCACGATGTCTTGCCCTACATGGCACGGATGATGGCATAAGCCAAAAGGACAACGCCCGACCCCATGTGGCCGTGATCAGTCAAAACTCTTTTTAAACTCATCAAATCAAAGTTCTTGACTGGCCTGCAAGATCAATAGGCCTTAACCCTGACAGAACATCTGAAAGATGACCTTGATTGGAAGGTTAAAAACAGGCCATACCCTTTGCAAACTCGCCAGGAACTGAAGGCTGCACTTCACAAAGAATGGCAGGGGATTCCTCAAGCAACGATAAGGTCAATAATTCAGTCAATGAACAGATGATTTGTAGCAGTAAATGAAGTTGGGAGAAGCCACAAGCAACACTTAGCAAAATTTGATTTGGATTTTTCAAGGGTCAGTGTGAATAAAGAAAGCTGTCTCCCTTGAAAAAGGAAACGTACTGGCCAATTCTTATTATGTCTTGTTTCCTGAAAATGAATGTACATCATGTGTACCAAATGTCGCTCAGTGATATGTTGAATAGTATATGTATATGAGCTATTGTACTTTGAAGGTGGATGTGATAGAACTTTTGCAACACGATATGTATAGAAAGTTGATTACTTGAAATGTTTTTTGTCTCTCTTTGACATTGTTGTTGCTGTTGGTGTTGCTATAGTTGTGGTGCAGTAGTAGTTGTTGCTGCTGTTGTTATGGTTGCTGTGGTTGTGGTTGTTGTTGTGGTTGTGGTGGTAGTATTGGTGGTGGTGGTGGTGTTGAAGTTGACCTCGTTGAAGACGAAAATTCGACAACCTTGAAGGCGCACTGCTCAGGGGTACTTTGTTTTAGTTTGTGTAAGAGTTTTACGGCACTTGCAACACAATAAGGTCATATAAGTGCCGAAGATTAGAGGTGTTACAAGCGATTGACAAACACAAAAAAGAAGAGGGAGAGATCAGAACGATAGACGTTTGATAGGAAAAATGGAATAAACCACACCAGAGCACCCGCCAACCACACAGTAGGGATACTTTAATTAAAAGACTCCATTATTCATGGCTTTATTATTCTTATTGATTCATTTTTCAATTTTATTAGCTTTATCCGAATCTTAAAACGGCAGGCAGCAGCGTGCATATTATAAAATATGCATTGTGTACTACAGTTTGAAATGTGTCGCAACATTGCCTTTAGTCAGCTGCTGGCCGTTAAAATGAATGTGTCCGCTACATTGACGCCAAGCCGGACATAATATCTGACCACGACAGTAATAATAAATATTGCTTTAAAAGACAACAGAATTCTATTTTAGAATATAATGAGTATGCGTTACGCGGATAAATCAGAAGGACCCTTAATTGATGTATAATGTTGTGTTTTTAGGTTGACGAGGACTTCATTTTTTTTTTTACTTTCACTCTCTGTTTGAAACTCAGGTTTAGAAAACTAAATCTATCCATCATGCATTAAAATCGCCTACGCAAGCAAGACAAACATTTTCAGTTTAGTTTAGTTTTAGTAGAGGTTTTTCGGCGCTCGCAACTGCATAAGGTCATATGAGCGCCAGAAGATTAGAGGTGTTACAAGAGAGTTACAAACATAAAAGAGAAGGAGGGGAAATAAGGACGATAGATGTTTGATAGGAAAGAAGAAGCAGACCACACCAGAGCACCCGCCAACCACCCGCACATTTTCAGTGTCCACCACTACACACCGTGTTTGGGGTGTAGTGGTTAGATGCGTTGCTGTTATACGAAGAAGACTTGAGTTCAACTTCCACGTCGGGAGATTTTTTATAGAGCGTCTCGGACATTGTGCTGGGATGTTGTTTGTTTTAGTTAGCATTTTACGGCACCTGCAACACAAGAAGGTCATATAAGTGCCGAAGATTAGAGGTGTTACAAGAGAATAACAAACATAAAAAAGAAGGAGGGGAGATAAGGTCGATACTTGTTTGATAGGAAAGAAGGAGCAAACCACACCAGAGCACCCGCCAACCTCCCACACTGGGATGTTGTATCGTTCTCAGCCCAGGTTAACCCTGATAGGCAGAGTCGAAGCCTGCTACTTGAATTATCTAGATTATATTAATTGGGGCGCCAAGACCTACATACTATTAAGCTAAGTGGTGCGTAAACAATACGTAACAGGGCCAACTTTTCCCCCTTGTTATGAGATAAAAACATTGCGATCTTTGAGTGGCCATCAGACGCTCTCCCTTCGCTCTACTGTTGGAGTTTCACAAACAAGCGCGTGGGTGGTTGGCGGGTACTCTGATGTGGTTTGCACCTTCTTTCTCATTAAATGTATATCATCCTTATCTCCCCTCCTTCTATGCTTTGTATGTAACACTTTCTCTAGTAACGCGTCTACTCTTCGGCTATTATATAACCTATTAGTGTTGCAAGTGTGGTAAAGCTTTAACTAAAACTATGCTAAAACGTGCTCAACGTTTCATGTCAGCTGATCATCATAGTAACACTGGACTTCACAGATTTCTGAATGGGACTCTCGTTATCTAGAGGTATGGAGTTTGCTTCTCATTCAAAAGGTCCCAGGATCGAAACCCGACAGTGAAGAAAAAAATCCATCTCCAAAATGCACTCCTTTAATTAATCTTCTTTCATGTTTTCTAGTCTGGTTTTTCTTTCATCACAACTTTCTTCCCCCC